TGTAATGAAGTTGCATTCTTAAAGAAAAATGCGTGGGTAAATCTGGAGCCAGATCGTTCCAGTTCACGTTCAGTCTCCCTAACCACTACAGCAATGATAAGCGTAGTAACGTGTAATAGATGTGAGCCTCCATAACTCTGTTACATTGACAGTCCACTCCAAATCCAGGACTGCATTAAGGTTATTGGCATCCTAGGCCCCACATTCGGCAAAACGTTCCTCCTGTGCATTAGCTATGCATTCTACGGAACATTGTGTCGTGAAATTTACACACTCAGTAGAGGCAGAGTTGAAATGGTGTCTACCGAGATGCAGTTATATAACCTGCTTCCAAAGTTTGCATAGAGAACGCTGTAAATTGGAAACAGCGCAGTGGTTGACCTTCGCCAATTTTTCTGGAAGTGGGCAAACCTCGCCAGGACCCATTTTCTGCCCCCGCGGTGTCACCGAACTCCGATATAGCTGTGCTATGCCTTCATTTGTCCGCCAGCTAGCTTCCCGAATGAGCCACAATATAACCGCCAAAGGAACCGCAGATCGTTTTCAGGTGATTCGCACAAAAGCGCAGTAGTGTTTTTTACAGTTTTGATTCGCACAAAAGCGCAGTAGTGTTTTTTACAGGCCGATGACAAAATCCATTTTATAAGTGATCATGTGGTGGGATATGAGCTGATTGCTGGAACTACGCTGAAACTTTATTAATCGATTCGTTGGTTATCCTCGGAGTTAAAATTCGTGAACATGTTCTACATTTTAATGACGACTGGCAATTAACAAGTCTGGCTCAATGCTAACATATCCCTCTGTCTGACGAATAGCGCTCTGGTGCTGCAACATATCTTTGAACGTTCCACCAGATCCTAAAGAGTAACGAGAGCAAAAGAGTTATCCATTTCCAATACAATTAACAGGTCTGGCTCAATGCTAACATATCCCTCTCTCTGACGAATACCGCTCTGGTGCTGCAACGTATCTGCGAACGTTCCACCAGATCCTAAAGTGTGACGAGAGCAAAAGAGTTATCCATTTCCAATGCTCGACTGTTCATGCCGTTTCACATTTAGGGGGCCGATTTAATTCTTGAATTTTCGGAACGATGATAGCTGTTCAGTTATGGAGTTGCAATGTCTGACATTTGTGGTATTGTGAGGTAGTTTCAAATATGGTGTCGAAAAGCGCGTAATATGCTACAAGACAATGCGTATCTGATTTGGGTGAAGTTCAGCTGAAAGCAGGGACGTTCGAGTTACGCGATCCAGATTGCCTGCATGCAGATCGGATGATCTACCTACCTCCCGAATCATGTTAACAACTGGCTAATTGTCTCGGCATGCTGGTTGTCTATGCAAAGGCTTCAAGTCATGCTGTCGGGCAGCATACTACATGTCGTCGCTCGTTAACCTATCCAGCTTAGATGGCTTCCCTCGACTTTACCGGTTAACTAAAAGTTGCCTTTCGTTCAACATATTGCTTCTTACGGGCTGTGTGTTTACCTTTTTCAAGTTTACGGTGCTAAGGAAATTTGGTTTCCTTCATCACCAACTCAGCAGCAGAGATTACCCTGCGCAAAGTGAAATCAATTTCTTTCAATCTATATTGCTTTTGATACCGTAGCCCTTTAAACATCTAAAGATAATGCCGATTCATGCTGTTGTGGATTCATTTTGACGGTATCTTCTTCCACGGGACTAGTTTTTACAATAAATGAACACGTTGAACTGGAAAACTCGCAGTCGTATGATACCGGTGCCGACATCAAAATTGACATGGTCTTTCCATCACATAAGCCAAGTGTCAAGTGCAAAACAGTTTGATTTCGGTACACTCCGTTGGGGCTGAACTGTACATTATTCTAGGCATATGTGGCATCGTTATATCATTTATGGATTAGTCGGTGCCTCGTTTCTCAATCAACCGTTGACTGACACAAGAGGCACGATATTTTTAACCTGTCATTTTTCTCTCACTGCAGTGACACTGTGGTAAAGATGTTTGCCACTTTGCGCTTGTAGGTAAAAAACCATCTGTCAGTAATGCCACCCTCGGACAATCAACGTTGGTTTTTCAATAAATGATATCGCGGTGTAGGTGTAAGCATGAAAAAAGCGAAACAAGGCAATAAACCACAATCACACCAGCATTGCAGACAGATTATTTTGAATATACATTGGTTCCGGGTGAATGTATGAATAGAAAACATATTTGCGTTCGGTTTAATCGACGAGATAATCGAGATTCATAAAAGGTGTTCAAAGATATAGGACAGCCAGCGCTTGCAGGCAAGCGATACGGACATTGTGCGCGACATTTTAATCCAGATTGTGCCATGTTGAAACGATATCTTGCCCCGTTTGAAAAATCTGGTGGGAATTTCACGATATGAAGAAGTCTGCAATGAACATTTTTGCGAGTATACACTGAGATGAACTTGGTCGTCAAGCAGTTGAGCAACAATAGGCAGGTTGTATTTATTACATTCGGCGTTCCTTCGTCGACAGGGGTCATCCAAATGCGTCTTTTGCTATTTCCACCATGACGCCAGATGTGCTTTAGGCGACCCTCATGAATTCCTTACGGAACTCTTGTTTTGCTTAGTTACCTTTGTATTATCACAGGAAGAACGTCAGAACTCAACTGAATTCAAATTCATATAAGTCCATATAAGTTATTCTTACGTCATGTGGTGGCCTTGCACCTTGGAAATGGTGATTTACTTCAAGGTTATCGACCTGGTACTTGGTGGAAATCTCATTTGTGATAGAAGTAAACTTGAATTCGAAACAACAACCCCCATGTGTCCTGTGATGCATGTCGAATTAATTTGAGAACGCCACATTCTTCATTCAAACTGGTTATAAGTTTCCCCCAGAAGTAATGTTTTGTGTTTGCTCCTCTGAAAATTCTGGGTAATTTGTTAATAAGGTTTCGACTGTTCTGAATCTCTGGAATAACTGTTACTTTCCGTTTATGAAACAATTGAATGTCTGCTCGTGTTCTGCGGTATTGTGCGGCTTTGTTGTGTTAAATTCATCGGATGTTACTGGTGGCTAAGGAGAAAGAGAACTGGAGTTTGGTTACGAAATGACGACCAAGGTCATTCGTGCGCAGAATACTAACTCGTAATTAAGACATACGAGCCCACGTACGCACTAAGCTCAATTCAAGTAATAGGTATTTGGTTGGAATGCCTCCATTCTACACACAAGTAATAGGGATGATGCTGAAGTGAATGCAAACTGTCAACCAATCGGGCATGAAATTTACATTAGCCGCAACCTATGGATATATAAAAAGATTTACGTGGACACTACTTGGAATACTTAAGGAAGCTAGAATAAAGCGCAATATTTTGCACGCAAATTAGTGGAGTTTTGTGTTTATATGGGGATAAAATTAGCTTGGACAGGATAAAGCGCTAATCGATGTAAAGATGAGTGAATTCCACTCAAAGCAGCAACCTTCAGAAAGCCCAGTAAAGTTGACAAACGTCGATTAAAAATATTGAGCGAATGTTCCCCATGGACATATCTTTCCCCCTCTGAGTATAGGTATAGGTTTTTTACTCGCTGCCACTTGCTGAAATCTAATTCTCCGATGCCTATTCCTATTCCTGAATGCTTTCATTTTCGTGGTTTTCGTTAATCCATCTTTCATCCGGTTTTCAGCCTTTAACTCCTTACATGGAAAATATGCAACTTTTGGGGATGATTTACGGAGAGACTAGAGTTTGATCGGTTACTATGGTAATGAATCTTGTCGATGGCTTTGCAATCTATCTACGAAACCACCGGCTAAACTGATAATGCAAAAATATCGTTCAGCTGTGATGTCGGTTTCGAAGTTATCATTTGCCTAAAAACACAACGCTCTCCGGGCTTTGATAACCATTTCATATCTTTTCTATGTCGCAGAGGTTCACGAATCGTCTCGTAATGCTTCAATTAAATCTCAGCCACTGCTATTTTTCCCGCGGGGGTTTTGTATTCCAAGGGAATTCCAACTATGTTGTAAGGTGGATGAGTCGTCACTTTTGATTATCAGCAGTTCATATCTTACGAACCCATGTTACCCCGATCTTACTTAAAAATTATTCGCAGTTGATCGTTCTGCAATTTGATGTGGCCGGTCATTTACTTGGATAGTCGGTTCATTTGGTGGAACGACGTATGAAGTAAATCAAAATGGGTAGAAAACTGCGCATTTCACCCGAATGATTACCCGGAGTCGGCTTTCAGAATTTTCAGCTGATGCTGTGGAAAACTGCACATGCTGATTTACCCCTGGCTTCCTATGTTTTCTGTATCCTTGCGCTGGTAAATCTGGCTTTATCATTTTGGTCGTAGGAATACTTTATATCTCCCGTGTGGTGAAGATTCTTCATAGTAAGTGCAAAATTATCTACCTGTGCCTGTTTGGCCGTTATGAGAATTCCGCTGCAGTAGTTCAACTTTGTGTATTCGTAATATGCGTAGTGCTGACTACGCTGGTAAAGGATGAATCGGAAGTAAAATGTGCCTCGTCTTCCCGTGCTTTATATTACGGCCTGATATTGGAGACCCTCACTTGAGCACGATTCGGAGCTGTTGAAATACGTCTTGGCAAACTAGGACGTTAGGAAGCACAAAGGCACAAGTATCGCAATGCTGTGTCACATACGAAGAAGCACTATGGAATCCTGCCAAATTTGGCCGCAGTGATTTCAGTTGCACCGTCTTTTTCCCGATCGGTGTGGCGTCTACCAGCCTGCTGATCATCCACTTTTGGAATTCGACGGTAAGCAGTAATGCTAATGCTTGTCAAGAGTGAATCCGCCGTACAATGCTTCTCAAGAGGCTTCCTAACCCGCGCCAATCATAATCGCATTAAATATCTCCGACGAAGTTTCCAAATCTTCTGTTATTAAAAACCCATAAATTAGTGACTATCAGTGTGGTTTAATAGTGAGATTGAACGAAGAGTTATTCCGTTTACCGAAACGCCTTTATATCAATTTTACGCACCTCTCTCGGAAACGTGTTCTTCCGATTTTGACGTGTGACTATTCATGTGAGGATCTGGCAAATTTTGATTTGTCGACTTTCTTATGATGATATCTGCGGACGCCAAACTGATTGAGGTGTAATATGTCGCCAACAGTGGACCGCAGACGGCAGAAAGCCTCCATGTATTATCTAGCCATTGTGCCTCATAACGTCAATCCTCTCGTTTTCGGCGAACAATTTGATAATTAGGTTGGTACAGTTGTCTCCACCTTTGAGCTAAATAAATGCCACGCTTAGCTTTCATTGACTAAGACAGGAGTGATTTTTTACATTTAATTTGAGTGGTCAAACCAAAGTATTCTGAATTTCACGTCCGTAAGTTGAAGACTCATTCACCGAGTTTCCTAGGAGTTTTTACTGGTTGGAACTAAGCAGTTACTCAGAAAGTATGAAGTATGTTACATTTGAAGGATTAATAAGCTCACAGCTAGTAATTTCGGAATAACATAAGGGTCACCCAATATAGACAGCCAACACATTGATTTATTTCCACAAACCCACCGGTGAGTTTCAGACATTTGTTGCGTTTTGTTCACTTCTGCGCTTGTTTATCGTAGGTCGGCACAAGCCATCCGCTTGGGCCGCTTGGGCTGTTTCTACGGTTTCTGTCCGCGCTAAGAAGCATACGATTATACCTTGATCTCAAACAATTTTTTTGCAACTGACCACCCACATCCGTGGGTGGTGCAACTGAGAGGCTGCCAAGGCGCTAGTCTCTGAAAAACTTTGAGTAGTTGAGTTTAGAGCATCACAAAAAGGCTTTAGACACACTTTTGTTAGTACTTACAATTCTTCTAATTTTATTCAACCAGTGATCGAAACAGCAATTGTTACCAAGAATACTATCGGTTTTGTTAAACAGCCACACTCATTCAAATGCTCTAAACTCGAACCGTAGCACGAGTGGATCCTGTCGAGTTGCCGATTTATGATCTGTGTGAATTTTAATCTCTCCACCTAAGAGACATCAGTACATGTATTATTTAGCTTTCTGTAGCTTCTAAGCTTTGCACTGCCGATGTTCTTTAACTATTGATGACCGGCCATGAGTTCACTACCAAACGATCTATCAGTTTGAGTAGAAAATAGGTCCAACGAAGCCTCGTTACATATTCGATCAATGAACATAAATAGTACATTTTGAAGAAGTTCTTACCGCACTTTTCTTAGTCTCGTTGCTACCTTTCGCCGCTGGACGAAGCGCGCACAAGCAGCAGTCACGTAAATGCTGATATTATAGACTGGCATCACTGGTCAAATGGTGTGGCGTGGTGGTTAGTAGGTTAGTGTACACTTGGTTCTCAGAAGATTAATAAAGAGGAAACATTCCTTTGTCCATACTTGATCCTCACGAACTTTCTACGTTTTGTTCACTCGGAAAACAACCTAAATTCGGACGCATGTGCTGAAAAGTCAGAGTGGTGTAAATCTGGAGATCGACCAAATGGATGGAACGTAAAGTATTTAATCCAAACAAATGAGCAAACAACCTCCCAAATTTTTGCTCCGAAAACTTACCCTACTGCAAATTCTTGGTAGGATTCTCAAAATGTGGAGCGCCCTGAAAATGCAGCAGGTCGCGGTGTCGATTTGTCCCACTCAGCTACCGATACTCCACGAGTAGTCTCCCAATATTTCAATAGGCACTTCCACGTCAATGGTCGACATAAAAACGTTTTTTCTAAAGGCGTAATTTTTGCTTTCTCTCAGCGTTATACTTAGTTGCTGGATTACTTACTTGATTCTTTTTTATGGTGAAAGCAAAGTTCAAAGCAAAGTTCACAATGCTGATTACCTGAGCCCCCCCTCAAGCCATTAATTCTTGGGACTTGTGAAAATTGTGGTCCTATCCGTTTTCGCATAATCAAGAAATGGTCACTTATTGATAAATGATGAAAATGACGGTAAGTGCGTGTGTCTTGGGATTCAGCATGGAATCGAATTCTGCTTACCACACCCAAATCAGTATTAGGCGTCGCATTATTGGATTAGGTTAACAGAGCTGGCCCGACTGTCCGAATCTTCACCTGGATAAAGCAGTATAGGCAGTTTCATGGGCCATCATAATATCACATGTCTCTAGAAAGATGGAGTTTGGTAGGAAATCATAGGAAGCTTAACTAGGGAGCCCTATGAAAACATTATCTTTACTAAATCGTCGCCTCTTTTTGTCTTTCATTTGAGCTTTCAGATTCATTTCCAAATACCCCAGAAAATGTCTACCGCTGTGAGTGCCTCAGTGATGACCATACCGTTTTTGCTTGAGCGGGCTTTACTTGAATCTGACATTGAAAGTAGGAATGTATCCGTAACAAAACAGTAGATGGCATTCTCTGGCGACTTTACTTTCATCATAATATCGTGCTTTCGTCGCGATGTAGAACGATTCACTTGCGAGTACAGTGTAACATCAAAGGTTAAAATATATGTTTCCTGGTGCAATCTTATCAGCCACAGTTTGCCATTCTGAATTTGCCTCGGTTCCGTTGGTAGGGCACTTTGTTAAATTGGATAGATCCTGCAACAAACATTGTACTGCGCATATTATGTTGTAAACACGTTTCGCTCCGAAATATGGATGTGCGAAAAATGAATTAATCCACAAAACGTGCTTCTTCTCCCTCGGTTGTTTCAATATACATACCTAGATCAAACTGTAACTGGGAATCAGAAATTCTGTGCAGTAGACCAAAGCATGTTCAGCAGTTATTTACGGCCAGACTTTGATCGACGCTTTGGGATGTCTTGATTCCATTGTTCGTAAAGGACGCCGCTTCATCCGTCCTTGCGTAACGGCGGATACTACCGCTTCATCCTCCTTGCGTAACGGCGGATACTACGAATGACGCAAGCAAGTAATATATGGATTTCTAGTTACGTGGCCTCACGTCTAATAAAAGGTGAGGTTTATTGCGGAACTTATGGAGCAGATTCGCACTTTTCGTTTACAGTTGTGTGGTTGTAATGAATATCCACAGAAGGTCAAGACGACCGGTGATTTTGATTGGTATCTGTGAGACAAAATACATACGGGATATTTAAATTCTAGCCCATTAAACTGTAGACCTTTAGTGGTTCTTTGCTTGCAAATCACTTTACGGAAAAGTCTGTCCTCCCGGTGTATGATGCCGTGGACAGAAAATAAATGAAGATCCCATGGTTACGAGATTTGAGAATGGGGATGCTTGGACGTTCCTGGAGTATTTCAGGGCTTTCCATGCTGAACAGACGGCCTGAAAGGGACCGCTATGCAACCCGTATTCTTCGCCGGCGCGGACCAGTCGTTTGATCGGGCTTTGCCGAGACTAGACGGAGTGTCGAGACAGCAGTCGCTATCGCACCAGTTCGTCAAAGGTGTAAAACCCGCGCTCGACACCCAGTGGAGAATGGCGAGAACAACTGGAGAGTTGAGTATGGAGGTGCTAGTGCATCTGGTAAGTGATTTGATCGTGTCACCATTAGTCACGTTGCAGTAGGTGGAGAATAGGGAGAATTCAAGGGCTAAGGAACTGCCGACCAAAATGGACCAACTAGTCAAAAAGCTGATAGCCATGTAAACGGAAACTTGAAGGTGCGCACGAACGAGCCGATGCTGTAAATTTGGCATGCCTGACCACCAAAAATATCAACGTTCTCAATACCGGCCATCTATAAATATTCAAAATTCTGGACTGCACCCATTTTTCCGGGTGGGTTGAGAATATCGCACTAAGACAATATGTGATACAGGTCATTGTTGAGGTTGACTACAAGATGGAGCTATGCATGATTAATGCAGAAAAAGGATGAAGTAATGGTATTTTTCTCAGCTCAGATCTCGGTCTGAGACTCCCGAGCTAGCAATCATGTCAAAACAGCCACCAAAGATTCACAAGGTATGTTGACCCTCAAAACGTAATTAGGAGCACCTGTGCAGCACTTCATATATATAAACCATAACCGGCAATAATTTTCTGGAACTTCAGACGAGTTCCGCATGCGCTATTGGCGACCGGCAGTCGGCCAATGCTGGGTCATGATTAGCTGTTGGCTCCAGACTTTCGACCAATCAGATCTCGACACGATGCCGGACCGGCATGGGTTTCGTATTTTCTGCCAACCTTGCGTGGGATGGAGGTTTCGGCGGTAGCAGCACCTGAGTGCGAGCTTAAAAGAGGGATCCGTGTAGAGTTCCGCCTAATTCCTAACCCTTGAAGTTTGTCGACGTAGCCTCCAAGCCGATGGTTCATTTGCAATGGCCTCAGTGGCTTGCGGATCCTATCTGGCCAACGTTGTGGTTGGACAGGATGAGCCTTCGACGAGCAGTCAATTGAGATAGTGCCAAAATCAAAAGTGTCCAGAAGCATTTCCGGACACAAATCACTCGGTTGTGGGCAGGATCTGCGTGCCTATCAGCCGTATTTGGTTTGTGTGGCGCATCCACTTGGCTGAGTCAACTTGAAATTCGCAGAGCACTATTCCGCGCCGGCGAAGGATGAGTCCTTGGGTCCAAGTAGGGTGTCTGCTGATGTAGTCACGAACTAACACTCTCTGGCCTTTGCTAAATGATCGCGCAGTTGCTCCATGTTACATTTTGAACTGTTGCTCCATTCTGGTGACTAGCGTTCCTTTTTTGTGGCCGGAGGGCGCTACATGGTCTTCGAATCCTCTTTCAGAGCAGTGCTTCTGCTGGTTACACTCCATCAGGCGAGTTGGTGCTTCGCCTTGCCCGATATGCCAGCAGAAAACTCTGCAAAACCTTTTCTGTTGATCCCTCGCCTCTTGACTTCTGAAGTGCCCGCTTCAGTGTGGCAGTGAAGCGTTCCGCTTGGCCGTTCGACTGCGGACGGATCGGCGGCGAGTGGACATGTTTTATATCATATTCCCGACAAAGTTTTACGAACGCCGACAGCGTGAACAGACTGCGGTTGTCTGGTGCAATAGTCTCTGATGATCCAAAGCGCCTGGAAATCGTTGGATTTTCTGGGCTGTAGTTGAAGTTGTGGGACTGTTCACTAGGAGAAT